AAAAAAAAAAAAAAAAAAAAGTTTCAATAAAAAAATTAGTGACTTCAATAAAAATAAAAAAAATCTTTAAAAAATTTTTTGTTTCGTAAAAAATTATTTTTATGATTAAAAACTTAAGATTTTTTTTGTTTGACATGATTTTTTTTTGATTGAATAATTGTGAAACCAATCTAACTCCATAGGCGCCTTGCTTACAGGAGGCAAGTGAAGTCAACAGCGAGGTTATACAGGATAGGCCGCCAGAGGGCGCTTGGGGGCTCAGAAAGTTGGAGTGAAGATGAGAACTAAACTTAGTTGAAATTAGATGTTTTAAAATCTTATTGCCATGCTCATCTTTCTGATCCTGTCTTAATTCCCCAAGCGCAAATGGAAAAGTTTGAGACCAGAAAGAACTCAAATCATTAACATGTTTTAGTTTTATTTTGTATTATGCATATTTTTTGTTATAAAGACATTTATTTTGAAAGTTTAAGACATCATTTCTACCTCTAAGGGTCAGCCACTATATGTTTTATATAATTTTTTATGTCTTTATTGTACTCATGACACCATCTCATTTAAGTTCATGTATTTTAGATCGATGGCGGGAAACAAAGTGGAACTGTAACAACTGTAAACATTTACATCTCGAGATTAAAGCAGACTTCATACCATCAGTAAAACAAACTCTATTGAGAGGTGGAAGTGATAATATGTAATTATTATTACTTAGTGAAGAAAAGTGAGAAAAAAAACATTCAGGGAGGAGAGATAGTCTGTATAAATGGATAAAGAAGTGACGGGACTCGGACGAACTCAGAGGCCTTCAGTCAACATTTCGGTCTGGACCATTTAAGTCAGGGGTGTCAAACTCCAGTCCTCTGCTGTCCTGCAGTTTTTAGATGAGCCACAGGAACAAAACACTGGAATCAAGCAGCTTCATCGCCTCCTCCTGGTGCAGATCGGCTCTCCAGAGCCTTAACAACCTAATTATTCTGTTCAGCTGCTGCAGCAGAGAAGCATCTAAAAGCTGCAGGGCGGCGGCCTGGACTGGAGTTTGACACCTGTGGTTTAAGCAAAACATGTTTTGCTTAAAAATGTTAGAAACTGCAAAAAAGAAGAAAGAATCCAGAATTTTATTGATTATATTTTTATTTCTTCCACCACATTTTCTCCACTGAGTCGAGTCAAGATAAAAATAAGTCCCGCATCAATATTTATTTATAAATTAAACGATTATTCTGGCTTGTATGCCTGATCATAAAAATATTAAAAGGGTGAAAACTAGAAAAACTAAAAGTAAACAGAGTTTATCCGAAGGAGAAGGAGGGGGAGGAGCCTGCAGCAGGAAGCAGCAGCCCAGAGGAAACTGGAGCTTTGTTTTTGGGAAACAGCAGCAGAGACTTTCAGAAATAAATAAAATCGTACAGAGATGGCCCCAGATTACCCAGAATGCACCGGGGCGTCTCCTCTCTACAGACCACAGCAGGACAGGAAGCAGGAAGACCATCGAACCGTCCAGGGCTTCTAAGGCACCAGAAGAGGAAGAGTTGCCGTTTGGACCCTGAAGAGCCGCAGGTTTGGTATCAGAAACGTTTTCATGGGAATAAACAGGAGCTGCTGCTGACCCGGCAGGTCAAGGTGAGCAGAACCAGAACCGGGCCGGCCTGGTGGAAGTTTAATCGTACACTGTTGGCTCTGACAATCCGATTCGAGATCCGGCTTCTGGGTCCTTAGTGTGACTCAACCAGCTGTAGTGTGGGTAATGAACGGATCTGGATCCATAATTCAGCTGGATCAGAACCAAACAACCAGCAGAGCAACGAGAAACAAAGCTGGAATATTTATCCAAAAACAGGCGGAGCTTCGAAGTGGGCGGGGCTTCAGCAGAAATTCCCAACGATTAAAAACATGGAATGATTTGAACCCCGGAGTAACATCTGAGCGGTTCTGGTCCAGCTCAGCTCACAAAGCTCAGGACCAGCTTCACTGGTCCCAGTCGTCCCAGTAAGCTTCCCAGCATCAGATCCCAGTGGAATGTTCCAGTAATTAAATAAACCCTGACCCTTGACCCCATCGGGTCCCTCAGAGTCCAAACTGAACGGTTACACCTCCACCAGAATCAAAAGGGTTCAAAGCAAAGCAGCGTTTTACAAACCAGTCCTCCCAATTCTTAATCCCAGTCCAGTAAAGCAGGAGCTGCGTCCAGTCCCAGACCGGAGCGTCGCTGTCGGAGGATCTCGCAGGAAAAAAGTCAGTGCTGCCAGGTGAGATCCCCGACGTCCTCTTCCTCCAATCAGCAGCCAGAGAACGGGGGGCGGCTCATACCTCCAGGGAGCAGTCGGAGGGGGGGCGGCGCTCAGCTCCTCGGCACCGCTCCACCTTCTTGATGACCTCTGACACCACGCATACCGAGGAGGTGAGGCTGAGCAGGAACAGCAGGTCTGTAGGACGGACGGAAACTATTATTATTAAAACCAGACAAAACAACTAATTAACTAAAACTAATGGTTTAAGTAAACTAATTTAAAATCAAACGTCTCTCCTTTGGCAGGTCGTAGTTCCACATCGTTTTATTGTCAGCTTTTTGAGGCATTTTCATTAAATATGGAGACTTTTTTAATTTGAGAGATTTGTCTATATATATACATTAGTTTAAACACAACATGTAAGAAACTGACAAAACTAAGTTGTGACACATAAAAAGGTGATTACTTTTTTTTAAATTCAGAATTTAAAAGGCGGTTAAAATGTGTTGAATTGACTTGTTGTACAGAGTTACACCACAGGGTGGCGGTGCTGCTGCTTGTCCAGTCCTCACAGACACACGAAGAAGGGCACAGAGTAAAGATTCTCCATCTTATTTTAGTTACTTCCAGGTTATTAACACCCACTAACCACATGATTCCCATAAAGTCTTTATCGTCTATCATTTATTATCCTATCAAACAGTTTTATGTAGACAATGATTTATTTTTTTTTAAAAGATTTTTTGGCTCTAGTTGCCTTTATTTGATAGTTAACTGACAGGAAGGTGGGTAATGAGAGAAGGGGGAAGACATGCAGCAAAGGCCTCCGGGCCGGGAATCGAACCTGCGACAGCCGCGTGGAGGACTGAGGCCTCCATATGTGGGTTGTGCTGAACCGCTGTGCCACCACAGCACTCCCATGGAGACAATGATTTGAGAGCGAAATAACTGTTCTACTGGGTTAGCACTTCGGCACTAGCATGCTAGTAGCCCCACTAGTTTAGCAGCTAACTGCTAAACTTAGCAGTGATTCTATTGACCTGATAGCTCAGGGGTGTCAAACTCCAGTCCTCTGCTGTCCTGCAGTGTTTAGATGTGCCACAGGTAAAAAACAGTGGAATGAAATGGCTTAATTACCTCCTCCCTGTGTAGATCGGTTCTCCTGAGCCTACTAATGACCTAATTATTCTTTTCAGGTGTGGTGCAGCAGAGGCACATCTAAAAGTTGCAGGACAGAGGCCCTTGAGGACTGGAGTTTGACACCCCTGTGAGCTTCTGAGGAGCATAAAATAATGTATTTCTGCCAGAAATGAAGACATTCAGAGGAAAAATATCTGTTTACTATGTTAGAAGTTAGCATTATATATATCCATCCATCTTCTATATACCCTTGTCCCTTAGTGGGGTCAGGAGGGTTGCTGGTGCCTCTCCAGCGAACGTTTCGGGCGAGAGGCGGGGTCACCCTGTACAGGTGGCCAGTCTGTCACAGGGCAACACAGAAACACACAGGACAAACAACCAAGCACACACACACTCACACCTAGGGAGAATTTGGAGAGGCCAATTAACCTGACATGTTTTTGGACTGTGGGAGGAAACCGGAGTACCTGGAGAAAACCCATGCATGCACAGGGAGAACATGCAAACTCCATGCAGAAAGACCGGGGCCGGGAATCGAACCCAGAACCTTCTTGCTGCAAGGCAACAGCTCTACCAACTGCACCACTGTGCAGCCCGTGTTTTTTTACATGTCAGTTTGAGAACAGGTTAGCATGCTTTAAATCATCGGCTCATGCCCGACCAGAGTAGGTCGGGTCCAAAATCAAGTGGGAGGAACCAAAGCGGTGATCAGGAGGAGCGTGTGGGATCAGGACCTCACCCAGGATGCTGAGGCTCTCCGTCAGGAAGACGCTCTGCAGTGGAGGGAAGTAGATGACGAGCAGCTGCCCCATGATGGAGGCCAGGACGGCGTAGCAGAACGTCCTGTTGCTGCACAGGCCCATCTCATGGACCATGCGGGTCTGAGGACACAGTTCATTCATCAGAACTCCAGGGTCAGAGGATCTGGTTCAGATACCGGGTCCGGGTCTCACCTGAGAGCGCGAGCTCAGAGCGTTGAACATGTCGAAGAAGACGAAGCAGGTGAAGGTCATGGTGGTGTCTCGAGGAGTGATCACGTTGTCCTGCAACTGAAATCCAAACAGCACAGAAACCAGTCAGACCGGAGAGCCAATCAGAAGACAGATCCAGCACAACCAGGAAGCAGGAAGATGGCGCACCTCTCTCCAGAAGACAAACAGCGTCCCGCAGACAATAATGAAGGCTGACACCAGAACCTTGACCAGCAGGCTGCGGGTCAGGATGGTGTCCTTCACGTTGCGAGGCGGCTTCCTGATGACATCACGATCCACAGGCTCCACCCCCAAACTGCATATAGAGGCCACATTTAGCTGATGCTGTCCATAATTAGTCAGAAAAGTTACATGTAACAATAAAAATGTAAAATAGAACATATCCAGAAAGTTAAAGAAACAGAGAAAAAGCTAAAAATCACAGTGTTAAAAGACTCCATTTCCCATGATGCTGCTGTACCTCTGAGCGGGCGGTCCGTCCATGATGATGTTGATCCACAGGATCTGCATGGCGTTCAGAGGGTTGGGGAAGTTCATCAGCGTTGCCAGGGAGATGAGCGTCAGCGCTGCAATGCTCCTGGTGACCAGCAGGGGCAGCGTTAAGCTGAGTTTACCACATTTAAACCAGGAAGCAGAGGAAACGGCGACTCACGTGCTCAGCTGGAAGCGGACAAAGTTCTTGATGTTGTTGTAGATTCCTTTTCCTTCCTCGATAGCCGACCTGGAAGCGAAGTCAGTCTTTTCATTTGAAGGGTAGTAGAATAAAACAGAAATCTGCATCTTATTCAAACATTCTGGATCCAGCCTTCCCAGCATCTGTCAGCTGGAGCAGCTCCCCCTGATGGTGGACTCACATGATGGTCTGGAAGTCGTCGTCCACCAGGATCATGTCTGCCGCCTCCTTGCAGACGTCGGTGCCTGTCTGGCCCATCGCCACTCCGATGTCGGCCGCCTTCAGCGCCACGGCGTCATTTACGCCGTCGCCAGTCATCGCCACCACGGCACCGAGGTTCTGGAGAGACTGCAGAGACACAGAACTCTTCATTTCGGTTCAGGAACCGATCCAGCAGAATGAGTTCTGTTTTTGTGGCCCAGTTTGAAACTGGGTCAGACTCACCTTGACAATCTTCAGCTTGTGTCTGGGGCTGGCCCGGTAGAACACACCCACCTGTGAAGAAAACAGTATAAATTTAGCTCAGAAAGTGGACACAGTGGTGTGTGAGCGGGCATGTGTGTACTTGTCTTTAGTACATTGAGAGGACCACCTTCACCTGCTCAACCCACAAAAGGAGGCCCTTATAAAAAGTGGGGACGTTTTTCTTCACTTTTGTTTCAGTTCTACTGCACTCCTTATTTTATATGCAACTGCACAAAAAAAACATCTGACCCGAGTTTCTGTCAATCAGATGCTGTATTATTTAGAGATGATTTATTTGAACATTGCACCCATTATTAGTGTAAATTTAGCTATGATGCTAATCAGCGGCAGTAGGAACGCAAGGAGTCAATCATTGTTGAATCAGTCTACTAATTATTTTGTTGATGCTGTTTTTGCTCAAACCACACTACAGATAAGTCAAACTATAGGTTTTTGAACAACCATTAGTTTTGCTTCAAGACAGTTTTAAATACAGCCAAATACTGCAAAATTACTTTGACTGTACTGTCCTAGAAGTTTTTGTTCTGCATTTCATGATACAAAAAACAGGGTATGTACAAAAAATGATTTATCCAATATTTATATTGGATATCTTGAAACCAATGTAATCTTTTGATATAAGGTTGCATAGCCAAAATGAATGCACATTATTTACTTTTTTCTACAACTATGACTACAATTTATATATTGCTTACTAACACCTGTATTTCTCAGTCTTGCTAAGAAGTTTCATACCATAAATTAAAAACAACTTAGAGTTTTGGTCACATGTTGTTTATTTTGATATATCAGTTGTAAAAGACATTAGTAAGTAAGTACCTTACTACAGTAAGTTGTAGTAAGACATTAAAATGTATTTTTATTGGACAATCTAGCTCAGGGCTAAGTTAACTTACTGAATTTATCAGCCAGCTGCAAACTTCTGCTTCCATGAACCACATGTAGCTCACACTTTAACCACTAGATGGTACCAAACCACTTCTAATAGCAACCGTATCATGAGAGGAAGATTCAATTAACCAACATTGGCTGTGTTCATGTGAAAGAGAGAGGAAGCTACTTGGTTTCACTTGTCCATAAGAAGGTTAGGAATACCCTGGAAATGGTTTGGAAACATGTCTGGGTTAGACAAACATGCAGCGACTAAAACGAATGGAAGACCTCAGAACGATAGAAGTACAAGAATGTGTGTGTGTTTTCACCCTAGGAACGATGTTGGACAGCTCCTGCAGGTCCAGATGGTCCACCTCCTCTCCTGATAAACACTGGCATCCTTTGGAGTAGAGGCCCAGACGGTTCGCTGCACGCATGCACACATACACCTGTCAGTGGATTATACTGTCCTCCTTACTAAATGTCCTGTATAGAGATCTGGTGTTTGGCATTTTCCCAGCATTCCTGAATGCCTTTCTCTGAAGGCATTCCAGAGAAATAAACGGCCTTGTCTAAAATGGGCGGACCAGAACCAGAAACTGGAGAATGTTTTGTTGTATTAAACTCATCCTGGTTTCACCCCCCAGCTCTGTAGGCAGCCATTGTTTCCATTTGTCAGGTGATCGGCTGTCTGACATTAGAGAGCGACTCTCATGACGCTGTCCACTGTAGTTTGCTGCTAACTTGCAAACGGATCTGATCTGAGAGAGGAGGGAGAAACGTGTGTGTGTGTGTGTGTGTGTGTGTGTGCGCGTGCGATGTAAGTCCTGTAAATAAACGAGACATTTTGAACTTTGCATGCACTCTGAGGTCTGGCTTCTTCCTCTGCAGGGATCGTTTATAAAACAGTCTGTCAGACAGCTAGTTGGGATTCTGGTTTTGGGGCCAGAGGTCATGGGCAGGGTTTGGTCTTGGATCACTAAGTGTAACTGAAGCAGATGGACGAGGAGGGAAACTTTAAAATAATGTTCTGGTTCTGATGGTCCAGATTTCTTCCCTCCATGTTTTTAAAATCATAAATATCAAAGCTGACCATGAAGTTACGATAAAAGCGTCTTCAGAGGAACGGAGGGAGTAAAATCGCTTCGCTTCATTCCGCCTGACTAAAGGTGAGTTCAGGTGAGACTAAAGCTGCTGTAAGCAGAGTGACCTCTGACCTATCGACACGGCCGTCTCCTGGGAGTCTCCAGTGATCATCTTGATGGCGACCCCGGAGTTGAGCAGCGTAGCAATGGCCTCTTTGACCCCTTCCCTGGGCGGGTCGATGATGCCCACCAGACCCAGGAAGGTCAGGCTCCCCATCTGGGAACCCGAGGCGAACGCCAGCACTGAGTGGCAGACACAGAGGTCACACAGGGTCAGAGAGAGGTCGACGTAAGGTCAGATCGTCCTGATCTTGTCTCTGATCGGTACCTCTGAGGCCTGAGGTGCCCATGTAGCTGATCTGCTGCTGGTAGAGCTCCCTCTGCTGGTGGGTCAGAGGAAGGTTGGAGCCTCTGCTGTTGTAGCAGCTGCAGAAACGGATCACCTGCTCATAGGCGCCCTTCATGAAGTAGACTCCGCTTTTATCCTGGAGGGGGCAGCAGAGAACCAGAGAGGAGCTACATCAGCACAGAGGACACACTGCAGAATCAGTCCGAGTCCCAGACCCGAATCCAGACCCGGGTGTTAGCCTGTACCTGCTGTGTGCGGTGGACGCAGCGAACAGCCATCCATTTCTGCTCGGAGGTGAAGGGATGCTCCTCCAGACGGATGAACTCCTGCTGAACGCTCTCCAGACCCATCTGAGGAAAACACAAACTATCGTCACGTCTGACCTCTGCCATCTGCTCTGGCTGATGGTTTCCTCAAACTTTGAACCAGAACCAAGCAGAAAGGTCCACCAAAGCCCAGACTGGTTGGTTCCTGCCCGCTCCAATGGGCTCCATTTTGAAATAAAAGCTGGTTCTGTGTAGGAAACCCAGTCGTTTGATCGGACTCTGGAGTCTGGGTGTTTATCAGAGGAAGTTGGTTCCAGGCGATAAGAAGCGGCTGCTGCTTACCTTCATGGCGAGGGCGATGAGCGCGCCCTCTGTGGGACGGCCCAGCAGGTTCTGGTTCCTGATGACTGAGTCATTGCACACGCAGCCCACCTGGCAACAGCAGCAGGTGCATCAGCCCTTTTGTTTGAGTCTCATCTAAAGCGTTTTACTTTCTAACATCAGAACTA